AACGTGTCATCACATGGTATATGTCTCGTCTGACAGGGGTGCAGTTCTGACGGGGGTGCAGTTCTGACGGAGAGGACTGGAAAGCCACTTCAAAAATGACAGTAGGCCTACCCAGAGCCCTAAAGCAGTGGTTCCCAAACGGTGTGCCGCGGCACACTGGTGTGCCGCGGGATTTTGTGACAACCATACGTTATTATTGCAATTTCCAACTACACAAAAAATTATTATTTTTTAATTTACTATATCAGTACTTTGTAGGTTTATATGTACGTAATCTGCGCGACTTGCGCGTCCACATCTCCACGTGCAGTGGAGAAACATGTAAACATAAACATGGCTGAGTCAGTATGCCCATTATTTTTGAGTTCGTCCGAAGAATAGACAGGAATGTGACGGTGAGGTGCAAACTGTGTCCAGGCCAGAAGCTGTTATCCACTGCTGGAAACACCACGTGGTCAAACCTCAACAAGCACCTGCAAAGAACACATGCTAAGGTGAAGCAACGCACAAGCTATTTGTTGTTTGTTTATATCACGTAGTCTTTTCTTCTTCTTCTCTGTCTTCCGGTTGTTGCCTGTTTTGAATGACAAATACAAACTACCGCCGCCTGCTGGTAAGGAAAGTTATTGCCACTCACGCATGCGCAGATCGTACGTGCTCGGGCGAGTAAAGTAACGAGTTATATTACATTTTTAGTAACGACCCCATCTCTGGAGTTGGCGTCATCTACTCTGGTTTACATGAAGAACAACAGGATGTCACGGCTCTCTGTTGAACAGGACTTGCGAGTGGCCCTCTCCTCAGTGCCACCAAGGATTAAAATATTCTGCGCGCCCCGACAGGCACATGTATCTCACTAATTTGTAAGTCGGCAAAATATTTACAATAGCACATGTTTCAATGCTGATTGTTGAAATGTTACATTTATAATTTGTAGTTCAGGACCATGGAAAATGCAGCTTCCTTGCATTGACAGTTCTCTGTGCTGAATTTCCTTTGCCTCATTTTTAATGTTGTGACCTGTCTGGTTTAAATGAGTGTGTCGCTGCTTTGATGAAGCCTAATTTGATAAAGTTTCAAATTAATTTCTGAAATATTTCGTTAATAAATATTTCATGAGTAATATAGTTGTCTGTCACATTTTATTTGGCATTAGTAAATAATTATGCACATTTACAGATATTTTACATGATATGAGTGATAACACGTGTTATAAGGGCTATTTTGCACAATAGGTGTGCCTTGAGATTTGTACTTGTCCTTTGGTGTGCCTTGGGCACAAAAAGTTTGGGAACCACTGCCCTAGACAGATAAGAGAGATTAGTATCTCTAGGGCTCTGGGCCTACCCATAAGGAGCCGTACACATGCCGCAGTTTTTGCGTGGCTGTGTCTTTAGTTGAAAGCCCAGTGGCAATCTGTTCATCTGTCATACTGATCATACAGTCAATAACTTTGTTGTTATTAGCATCTGGTTAGCTAGCTATGCTAACGAATATAAGAAGCTTTTTCTCCAACCAGTGAGGCAAAGGCACATCTTTATATGATCATTATGGTTTTAAAAAAATAAGAGAATAAAGTAAACGGGTATAAAATAATATGACAGTACTAAAAAGTTGTTATTACTAAACAAGAATACAGTTTGAAAGGGGAGTGATTTGTAAAATATCCATAAAGAAAAATAAAATCTGCTTTCAGTTCTGTTTCATATGGGTGTTGAGAGATGTATCCATAGATCTCTTAATGTTCGCTCTCAAAGTGCTGCAGATTGATGCTTTTAACTTCAACATTTAAAAAAAAATCTTCCCGTTGGGAACATGCCCCCCGGAACCCCCTAAAGGGGGTTAGGTCCCCCCCCCTCCATTTAAATAATGTTCACATGGATAGGAAACTAAATACATTTGCACACATCTTGTGTCCATATCTTTCTGTTTTGGTGGTCATGCCACAACCGTGCACATGCATACATCGAGTCATGGTAACCCCACCCCTGCTCTAGTGGAACATTTCCCAATGGGAAGGACCAGACATTGGGAATTTTATCCAAATGGTATATAACCAAATTATATTCTTGATGAAATAGTAAATATACTATTTGAATATGAAGCAGGAATGTCTAGCAAGCCTGTGGTTGGCCATATTCATCAGTTTAGATTAAAACTTTTTCTTTAAAGGAAGTCTGATGTGTCACCTAAGGACAGACTGAAAGGGTCAGATTTGCAATCTGCAAAGGGAACCGGAAGATGTGGTTAGGGTTATCTGATTAGGATTCCACCCAGACGCCTCCCTGTGGACATCCATCTGGGAGGACACCTTGGGGTAGACTCACTCAGAGGTGTAATATGTCCTTATGAGCCAGGGAAAGCCACATGATCCCCCAGGAGGGCATAGGTGGCCAGGGAAGGGACTTCCAATCCCCTCTTCATACATTTTTGCCAATGCTTATCGACACCAGATACATAGTAGTAAACTGTTAAGGGCTTTCTTACCATTTGCGATAACACTTGAGAAAGTGTCAGAATATATTTAAATAGAAGAGAAACTTGCCAAGATGCAACGCAGGCCTGACCAATTACCTCCAAAGAATTGTAGGTCCAACACCATTTACAGCATTTCTACACAGACATTCAATCATTAAGGAGAAGTGCAATTACCTGAACTACAATGACGCACACGGTACATTTTCACACCTCCACCACCACCTCCCTGCTGCCATTTTCTCTTTTTAACATACGAAAACATTTTGCATTGTGATAAGTTATGATTAATGAATCTTAATACTTCCTGCAAATATTTGTTTCCCTTTCTTGGGTTTTAAGGAGACACATCTGCAGCCAAAAGACCAAATGAACAATCAATACATATTTATGTATAAGGACATTGTTTTAGTTTATAGGAAGAACTTAAAACATGATTGAAGTAGCGCTGTGAAAATGTTAATTATTTTCAATGTGTCTCGACTACAGGTGAACATTAGAGAGGTGTTCATTTTGCATTAAAGCAAACATCATAAAATAAGCTTAAATGCTGAAATGGCAGCTAAAATCAGTCATTTAAAGAAAACAGCCTTTTCTTTACATTATGAAAAACATGTTTTCTGTTTTCTTGTTTCATAAGAGACAGTTTTTATCCCATAAATTGACACAAAACACATTGTTTTCAGAAACTTTTGGGCATGTCCTTATATGAGTGCTCTTCTTGATAAATGTATTATTTCATATTGAAAGCGTAGCCTTTTGTAATTATTATTATTTATCCTTTTTTGCATGGTTATCAACTATATTTTATTTTAGGAAAATCATTTACATCCCATTCACTTCACCTTTGTGCTTGTTGGACTAATAAAGTGGTTTGTAACTACTCAATACAAATTGCCTATTTAAATTAATACAATATGTTAATGATGTGACCAGTGGCGAGCCGTGACTTTTATACCTAGGCCCTCTGACCCCCCTTCCCTTGGAAAAAAAAGAAGAGATATTACGTCTCAACGTAGACTTCAGCGGAATATCAAAACAGCGGTCCGGGGTGCAAAACGCATCAATGACAGCGACCCTCTACCACACAAAACAACATCATTTATACCCACACCTATCATGACAGGGCACCCACAGCCAAGTAGCAATTACAAATGAATTAAGTCGCCACGGCGGCCCGCAATGAAAATGACAAGGCCTACCTTTGATGATCAAATCACTGAAACACAAAGTCCATCCTCCTGTCCTTTTGGATGAAGCACTTGCGGGTCATTCAGCTGATCCTTTGCCACTCCAGTTTATCATTGTAACTCAATCTTGAAAATGACTCGGTTAATAATTTCGCAACGATGTCCTCACTATCACTGAAGTGAGCTATCATGAACGAACTTATGCTAATCATAAATCTATCGATCATAAATCTATCGATTAGATTTATGATTCCAAAATAATAAAAGTAGGGTAGACATGTGGATATTATCCGGCTGAACAAAACGTGCATTTATCTAACAGGTTCGTTTTCCACAGACCTTATTTCCAGCTATTTTCCAAAACCCTATGGAGAAATCCCACTGCTTTCTGTCGAGGGAATCCGAGCGAAGCTTACTTCCGGGTTTTAGGACGCGTCACTGCACCACTTGCATAGACCTCACAGCGGGCGGAACTTGTCATAAAATCCGCGAAAATAATGCCCGCCCATTTAGAGGGAAGATATGATTGGTCAATTGTACTGTCATTTGACATTACTCTCTCCTTGAGTTACTATAGCTGGCCCTCTGTGAATGTAGAGAGGGACCAACAAGCTCTCCCGTCTTCACATAACTCGCAGAGACCGCATTTAACCCTTCACATTCCAACAGAAACTGAACAGGCAGATTCGAAGGATTTATTTCTTTGGAAATATTATTTTAAATACAATTAAATCAAGTTATTTTGGTAAAACTAATGAAAAATGTAACAACAAAAAAATATTAAAAATAATATTTTTAAAAAAAAACGTTTTTTTAAAAATGTTTTCAAATATTATTTTTTAGAATATCTTAGGCCCTCATAGAGGGCCTAGAGGGCCCTGACGGCTCGCCACTGGATGTGACAATGCTATAGTTATGGCTACATTGTTAATGCTCAGGGACCATAGAATGTATTTATAAAGTGAGGGACCTTGGTTGTCATGATAACAATATTTGTTAAGTGGATAACGGAATAAAAAAACATATATTTTAGGTCACCTTGTCAAACAACCAACAGCACTCCAATCTGTTTTGTGTCAAGTCACAATTCAACAGAATCAATAAGGGATCAGACAAACAGTTATTAAATCGACCTGCTGGGGATGACAGTGTTGAGGGATTGTGGGTGGGGAAGCGGGTGGAGTGCGAAGGGCTTATAGGAGCGGCAGCAGTTTAATGGTGTGTTGTTGTCATCTGAGACGATACATGTGTCTCTCTGGCGTGAACTATATTCCTGAGCCCTGTTGTTCATAATCATAATAATAACGGTGAATCATTTGCATTGTTTCTCCGCAGCTCTCACTGTCTCAGCTGGCAGCTACTTCACGCTACCCGACCATCAGCCACTCCAGCTCGGCGTTGCCGTGGCAACAGACGTTTCCCTCTCTGCTCCATCCCTCCCCACTGGCATCGGCCCACCAGCTGTCACATGTCGTAAGATTTTCACCTCCGTACGCTCGCTCACACACACACACACACCACACACACACACACACACACACACACACACACACACACACACACACACACACACACACACACACACACACACACACACACACACACACACACACACACACACACACACACACACACAGCCTTGTACTCACACCCTGAGGAAGATACACAAGTAGAAAAGGAGTCAGAGATGCATTTACACATCTTTAGGTGGCATTCAAACACACAGCATAAGCCTGTAAATCCCCAAGGATATGCCAACAGACACTCGGTAGAGTTCAAAGACACACTCACCTTTACAGCACATACAGATACACGCAATGTGTTTTGGTGAATAACTGAATGTAAACAGAACTTGTGTTTGTTTAAAAGAAAATCCCACAGGGCACTTTCAATAAGGTACTTATTTTGTGTTTGCCATCCTTTATATTACTATTATGTGTCAATCCATGTCAAGTAAAGTCAAGGCAATTTCATTTATATAGCAAATGTATATATACTACGGCTGAACGATTAATCGATTTTAAATCGAAATCGCGATTCGAGATGATGCAATTATCAAATCGCAAAGCCTGCGATTTTTTTACATTTTTTTTTTTTTCTTCTTGTGTGTCAGTCATCCACACCAATCAGAAGTGCTGTGCTCCACATGTACCAGCCATTGTTAATCAATCCGAAGTGGCCCATGATAGAAGGCAGCGACGTGCAGTCAGGGGAGCAGGGGAGGCAGCGCCTCACCTGTCATACTCCAATGTAACGGAAAAGAAAAACTAAATAGTAATAATAATAAAATGTCTCCACTGATCTGTGTTGTAAATGTGATTTCTGTATGATTCCAATCGCTTTTTATAGTCAAAATCAGCAAATTGGCCGAGCTCCGCTACAACTACGGGTAGCGATGAGAAGTGAGGCAGGGACGAGCTCTGCCTCTCGTAAGCCCACAGTAACTGGCTGGAGCGCGGGCACTAATTTAACGCGGGCACTTATTTTGTGAGCGCGCTCAAGCCAGTTACTGTGTGGTGAGGTGAGGCACAGATGAGCTCTGCCTCACCTCAGAATGCGTCACCCCACAGAAACTGGCTGGAAAGCGGGCCTAAGCGCATGCCTGATACCATCTCACTGTATGTCACCAATGTAATGTTTGTAGATCCCTTTATTACATTTATCCTCGCCATCCATAGTCTCTAAATAACTTATTTCACGTGTATATGATATTTAAGCTCGCTGGTCTCATCATACAACGGCAATGAAAAAAGCACCAGGGGAGGCAGCCATAACCTCTGCCGCACTAAAGGGGGCGCAAGTGAGCCCACAGGTTCTTGTTGCTACTGTTATTCTACGCAGAGACGGAACGCAAACAACAAACTAGACTTTTGAAACTAGAGGAAGATAAGGAGGACTTTTACAAAAAAGTAATAGAGATTGTTGTCCAGAATGATAACATGGACTTCATCTTCAAGTCAAGGTAAGACCACCATTGTAATGAAAATGGGATCTTACTAAGAAAGAACAATCCAATATTTAGATTTTGGGTATCCTTTTGTTGAACAGTCTGTTTAAAATGAATCGAAGCATCAGACTAAAAAAGCTTTTGAAAATAACCGAATATTTCGATTAAGGTCAAAATATAATATTTGTAAATCTGACTCTGAAAGAGTCAGTGCCTCACCAGCCATGAACCTCACCGCACGTCACTGATAGAAGGTGATAGACAGATTGATCCAATCACCTGCCAAGTATTTTTGAAAATGTCTGCCCTTTCCAAATGGCTTCCAATGGAGCTTTCCTAGATGGTTTGGTGAAACAAACCATCTGAGTCAGGTTAGTAATGCTCCATCACATGTTCTACATCTAAAAGGGTGAATCTTTAACTGAAGCTTGACTTTAAAGCAACCCAACAGAAGTGTCATGTAAGTTTAGTTATTTCACTCGTAGCTCGGGCTGCGGGGGTGCTAGAGACGGGAGTATGTTGATACGACCTTCCTAGCCGGAGTTATGGCCGCATTTTACAATAAACTTCCGTTGGGTCGCTTAAAAAGAAATATCGCAATTCGAATCGCAATCGCAATATTTGTCAGAAAAATCGCAATTAGATTTTTTCCCAAAATCGTGCAGCCCTAATATATACAATCCGTACGGCATACAACGCCTGCTGTCCGTAGACCCTTCAGCAGATACGGAAAATCCCGCCATAATAAATCCTTTAATGCGAGGAAAAAATGAAAGAGACTTCAGAAAAGGATGTCATGTTTGCAGAATAACGATCCTTATAAAATTACAATTAGACAATCAATATGACAAAATGATATATGTAATGCCAACATATAGGGGAAAGATTGATTCAGGAAGATGTCAAACAGCTTACAGGTGTTGTCAAACAGATGGAGCACGTGTCACATTACTTTCTCTCCTGGAAAGAGGACAGGATATGCAAACTAACAAGAACAAAAACTCATGCAAGCAAATCATGACGCAGACAGGATAAAATAACAAACTACACATTTCTATATCCATTTGATGCATGAGGAAAGTAGCTCAGATGTCCTTCTCACTATTTGCTTACACCAACTTATCTGTGGTTTTCCTGAACATATTGGACGGCTCTTTATCATAATCAAAACAATCTTAACTGGAACCATTCAAAATGAACAGACAGTAGTTTCCATCATTGTGCAATTGTGAGGATATCTGGACATTTGGATTATTAGTTTACTTTGTTCAGTAAAAAGGTTGTATGTATAAACTGTAATTTAGTTATAGTAATCTGACGAGTTAAACATTTCTAAACATTTCTTCATCCGCTTCTCTGTATTAAGTTCTTTTTCATTTTCATTTTGTGTTCACAGTCAATTGTGAGGCTTTTTTCAGAGCTGTCCTGGCCGCTCCACCTGCTTTTACGCATCAGCACAGCTAAGAAGGACTTTGCTCATATTCTAACTAGACAGCAGTAGCTTTAATGGGTTTTCTTCCATATTTCATGCTCAAATCCATATGGCTTAAGCTATGAATCATATTGCAGGAATAATCCAGGAAATGTGGATCAGGCTTACTGAAGATAACAATATAATCAGACACACAAATGGCTAAAAAAAGACACAATTCAATTTGTTTTTTCAAAAAACTGACAAGGTTGTGCTGTAGAAGAACAGTTAGAAAAATGTATGTATTTTAAATAAAGTATATGTATCTCTAATCTTTAGAAAATCCTGTAATTTGGTATGTGTGGTTACATTTCAAGCAGTGGACTTGTTTATACCATTAAATATGTCAGGTGAAAGTGACATGCCGTATGTACAGCAACACTCATCAACATGATCTAATGTCCTTACTTTTTGCAGTAAAACATTTTATTGGAGTCTTTGATTTGATGATTTTTCATAATTAAGCATGAACCAATTTGCAGTAATGCTTTAGTATTACAACTTTTAGTACTACACTGTTTCTTTTTATGATACAGTACACCAATTACCTATAACGCTGCTGCTGTACAATTTGAGGTAAGTTGTTTTATAAGATCCAAAGATTCAAAACGTCTAATGTCATATCCTAACATGAAAAAGACATACAAAAAATGTAATTAAATTAGGGCTGTCAGTCGATTAAAATATTTGTGTGTGTGTGTGTGTGTGTGTGTGTGTGTGTGTGTGTGTGTGTGTGTGTGTGTGTGTGTGTGTGTGTGTGTGTGTGTGTGTGTGTGTGTGTGTGTGTGTGTGTGTGTGTGTGTGTGTGTTATATTATCTATTAATATGTAACAAATATATTCCATTTCAGAGCAGAAGAAACAGCCTTCAAGGGTCAAACTCTGCATATACATCATTCAGCAGTGCACAATGAAGCTCCAACATTCAACTGTATGAACAAGCAATACTTTGGAATCCAAAAGTGTGTGTGTGTATGTGTGTGTGAGAGTCTCTTTAATCAACTCCTCACAGCTCCTCATATCTGTTCAGAAACTAGACAAAAGTTGAACATGTACAAACCACAGACTGTCTGTGTCATGGTGAATACAGTCGCTGCTTTAATTCTGTCTTTAGGACGTTGTTGTGAGTTTGGACGGAGCAGATACAGGTTAGTTTAGCCTGATCTGATCGAATGGAGATCGCTCCATTCAGAGAACACGCATTTTAAAAGTTGTTCGTCTGCCGTCTTGTCTGCACACTTGTCAAAGCATGGTTTTTACTAACCGTTATCAGTATTTAGTTACTTTGGCATCATTTTGAAACGTGTATTACAATGAAATCACGGTAAAATAGGTTAATTTTGTCGTAGTTTGTTTCCACCACAGTATTTACATCAGTGGTTCTCAATGTGGGGGGCATGCCCAGGGGGGGGCGCGAGAGACCAGGAGGAAAAATGGTTAAAAAAATAAAGATTACACTTTTTTTTTTTTTTTTAAATCATAATTTCTAAAATTATTGATTCGAAAATAATATGATACAGTACAGTACTATTACGTCTGGGTCTCTGTGTTTCATTCAAGCTCTGTGTGTGTGTGTGTGTGTGTGTGTGTGTGTGTGTGTGTGTGTGTGTGTGTGTGTGTGGTGTGTGTGTGTGTGTGTGTGTGTGTGTGTGTGTGTGTGTGTGTGTGTGTGTGTGTGTGTGTGTGTGTGTGTGTGTGTGTGTGTGTGTGGTGTGTGTGTGTGTGTGTAGGAAAGACAACTGTGATGGATCGTTGGAGCTATGTGCAACTCAAGGCATATGCTCGAACGGGAGCTGCCTGGACGCGGCAATCATGTTGCGCGCTCATCTGAGTGTGCTGACTTTTCGTAGGCTACAATGTCCCACTGTCTGGGTACCTGCATAAAGTCAAGTGCTCGGCACAGTTGTCGGCTAAATGTCGCTCCTCTGTTTTCATTGAAACAGCTCCTTATATCCGTTAGCGCAGCTAGCTAGCTAGCACCAGATGTATGAAGGTAGATATGGTGCAAAATGCGAGAGCGTGTAAAACCTGATGTGAGCACTTGCAGAAAATAAAT